GGGTGCCAGGCACTCCCCTCACAACAGGGAAATGCCATTTTAGCCCAGTGAAGCTCTCAGCTCTTGCTTTGGGCAGTTCAGCCCCAGGCTGCATTTGGGTTGAGCTAAATCCTTCCATCAGGTGTGGCAGGCAAAGCACCCTGAGCTCCAGCACAGGGTTCTCCTCACCCAGAACAGCCCCTCGCCTCCCAAAGCCAGGCTGGGCCTGCCTCAGCTCAAACTCTCATTTCCCTCTCTAATTATCTCCTCCTTTCATGCTTTGGTTCATCTACTGATGGAAAAATGAGCACTTTGTCTTTGGAAAGCTTTGCAGCTCCGTGGGGCAGTGGGAATGCCACTGGACAGGCTCCTGGAGCTCTGGCTTAGGTTAAACCAGGCCTGTTCCTGCTGGTGCTGCTGGAAATTGTCAGGAATATTTCAGCACAATATCACATCTCAGTGCTTTTGTTCCCCTCAGTTCAGCAGGGACAGATTATTTCTCATGGCAGGTAAATTCCATCCAAGGACTCATTCCCCACTGGAAGCCAAGGGTGTGAAGTTAAAAAAGGCAATTTCCTTCCTTATTTCTGGGGTTTTTGGGAAGGAGTGTGACACCAAAGCCACTCCCTGAGGCAGGAATTTGGGGCTGGTTCCTTCCCTTCATACTCCCAGCTATGGCAAGGGCTGGGACCCCAAAATGCACCCCTCATGATCCACCTGCACCTCAGGACACCTGGTTTTCCCTGATCTGCTTCTCAATTCTACAAAGCGCTGAAATGATGTGAACCCACCCAAGAAAACAACATTGTTACAGACCAGAACCTCGTGTGAGAGGGTTCCAAAGCAGCAAGGAGCAAGGCAGGTACTCTAAAAGGCTGTGGGGAGTGTGGGGACAAGGCAAGGGAGCTGCAGTCATGGTGGACCCATCCACTATGGAAGCACAACTGGAAATCTCAAACCTTCTCTTATCCAGCACCATGAAAACGGAGAGAAATTAAATTTAAAGGTGATCAAACCAAAAAATGGAGCTGTGGTGGCGATTTCAAACCAGAGGCACAGTGCAGTTCCAAAGCAGGGTGCACCTTTGTGCTTACACAGACAGAGGAAGGTTTCAACAAGCACTGCAGAGCACAGGGAGGAGGAGCAGGACGGAGCCACCCTTTGGTTCTTCTACAGCCAAGTCCAAGGAGGTAAAGCAAGAGCTCTGTAAAATGCTGCAGAGTTTAGGAGTGTAATGGCAGGTAGAAAAGGACACTGGCCTCGTGTCAGTGGCAGCCCCAGTGTTAGGAGACAGTCTAGGCTTCTAGGAGGAGAAAATAGAAGAGAGGAGGAGAAGTAGGAGAGGGAAAGGGGATGGGGAAAGGGGCGAGAAAGCGCAAGTGATTAGTAAACATCAGCACGGAGCAGCTCTGCACCACACCCAGCACCTCAGAGCGCAGCGGGACACCCGCCAGGGGACACACAGCTCTGCCAGGGGGCTGCGGGGCTGGGGCTGGCACCTGGCACCTGCAGGGCTGTGTCCCTGTCACCTGCAGGTCTGCCACCCTCTCACCTGCAGGGCTGTCCCTTGTCACCTGTCACCTGCACGGCTGTCACTTTGTCACCTGCAGGGCTGTCACCTGCAGGGCTGGCCCTGTCCCTGTCACCTGCACGGCTGTCACTTCATCACCTGCAGGGCTGTCACCTGCAGGGCTGTCCCTTGTCACCTGTCACCTGCACGGCTGTCACTTCATCACCTGCAGGGCTGTCACCTGCAGGGCTGTCCCTTGTCACCTGTCACCTGCACGGCTGTCACTTTGTCACCTGCAGGGCTGTCCCTTATTGTTGCAGGGCTGTCCCTGTCACCTGCAGGGCTGTCACCTGCAGGGCTGGCCCTGTCCCTGTCACCTGCACGGCTGTCACTTTGTCACCTGCAGGGCTGGCCCTGTCCCTGTCACCTGCAGGGCTGTCCCCTGTCACCTGCAGGGCTGGCCCTGTCCCTGTCACCTGCAGGGCTGTCCCCTGTCACCACACAGCAGCGGCAGGCCCAGGAGCAGCACCCAGGAGCACAGCTGGCACCGCTCACAGTGTTTCTGTGACACTGCTGGGGACACAAGTGCCATCAGGCTGGCTGGAGGCACAGCCCAGCCAGGGGAAGCACCAGATCCAGCAGGGACACGTCCCCAGGGAGCTTCTCAGCTGCCACCACGGGCCTGGACAGCATCTTGGGCAGGAGGCACACCCACATCAACCATCCCTGGCCATCCCTGATGGATTTATTTCCAGAAATTTGGTTGGGTTTTAGTTTTAAATGCATATTTCCTTTGAACTCTAGGCATCTATCCTACAATAAAGAGTTGCAAATTGCAAATTGCCCCTGAATTTTTGGTTCTGAACGTGCTGCTGGTTTGACCAAGCCCTCCCTGCCCCTGGCCTGTGGAGGTGGGCAGAGAGCTGCTCCCCCAGCAGGACCGCAGAGCCCCACTGAGCTCCTGCTCCCAGCCCCGCAGCCCTGGCAGTGCTGCTCCAGCCTCTCCATTTCTCCTTTTAAGGAAGAGCAGGGCTGCAGGGGATGTGCCCAGAGTGCAGCTCTGCAGAGCCCAAACCCAGACCCCAGGGCCAGGCAGCCACGGCCACGTCAGGCTCAGCCCTGCCAAGCCCTGGGCAGAGCTGCCAGGCCCTCCCTGCCTAAAGCCTGGCCTAAAGCCTGGCCTAAGCACAGCCTGAGCAGCCTCTGAGCTCTGCCCTGCCAGGGGAAAAGGATCCAACGCTCAGTGAGGCTCTGGCCCCGAGCTGCAGGGTTTGGGTCCCTGCCAGGGCTGCCCTGAGGGTGTGTGGCGGTGCCAAGGGGTGCCAGCAGCCCAGCCTGGCTGATGCCAGCTCTGCAGACACAGCCCAAGGGCTGCACGGGATGCTGCTGCAATAACACAGGGTCAGTCATCACCTTGTTAGATGTGAGGAGTGAAGGGAACATCCAGCAGTGCCTGCTGAGCTGCAGCCCAGAGAGAGCCACGTTCGGATGTGCCAACAGCTGCACTACCCTGCTCCTTGGAGTGTTCCAGGATCAGCTTAAACCCAAAAAGAACAGCTTTCAACACTGCTTTTGAACCTGTAGTTTGAGCACTGGTTTTGAACCCTGCAGCTTTTAACTGGTTTTTAACCTGTAGTTTTGAACGCTGGTTTTGAACCCTGTAGTTTTGAACACTGGTTTTTAACCTGTAGCTTTTTAACCTGTAGTTTGAGCACTGGTTTTTAACCTGTAGTTTTGAAAACTGGATTTGAACTTGTAGTTTTGAACACTGGTTTTTAACCCTGTAGCTTTGAACACTGGTTTTTAACCCTGTAGTTTTGAACGCTGGTTTTTAACCTGCAGTTTTGAACACTGGTTTTCAATCCTGTAGTTTGAGCACTGGTTTTGAACCTGTAGTTTTGAACACTGGTTTTTAACTCTGTAGTTTTGAGCACTGGTTTTTAACCTGTAACTTTTAACACTGGTTTTTAACCTGCAGCTTTCAGCACTGGTTTTTGCAGCAGCTGCTTTGCCTGAGCATCACCTGCCTCAGTCCCCTCCTGGCTGCTCCATTTCTCTGCTCTCATCCCTAGGAATCATTTCAGCTTTCAGACACAGGGAGTGGGTCCTGCTGAGAACAAGCCCAGAAGCAGAGGTGGTTCAGAGCCAGGGATCCAGCTCGGGGCAGCAGCACCTCTGCAGTGTGCCTTGCCAAGAGCAGCAGCTCTGAACCCTGCACACCCTGTGGAAATTCAGCATTTCTCCCTTCTCTCCCGTGCAGAACCAGAACATGGAAAGCATTCCACAGGGAAGGGGGCAGGGAAAGAGGCCATGAAGGAATCGTGTCATGCACATCTCCTGTTCCTCTGGCAAACCTAATTAACTTGATGGCCACAGCTCCCCATCCTGACACCCTGCTCTGCCACTTTGATGTCACTTTTAGACACACTTGAACAAGAGAAGGAAACAAATCAACTCTACCCCACAAAGAGGGAACATATTAATAAATTAAAAAGCTCCAGACACATAAAAGTATCTTTGATCAAAGTTGTTAACAGTTAGTGTGAACAGTTAAACCTCCACAAAGCAAGAGTGAGGCAAATAACAAAGGATTTTTTAAACACAAGCCAGAAGCTCAATACAAAAATCCTGAGCCTTTAATTATTCAGACCATAAATCTGATTGCATTTCTAACTCCTTTAGTTAGAAGTATTAATGAAGAGGGAGGAAATATCCTTAGAAAGGTTCAGAAGCGTTCTTAATTTCAGTTTATACTGAATTACAGAAGATGCACAAATTCCTTTTGACCAGATTTCCAATGGCAAATGAAGCACAAAGATCAATTTTTCTATTCCCACCCTCACTAAGGACATGAAACTCACTCCCACTGAACCAAACTCTAAAATCCTAAAGGGAATTATAGCAAAGAGGTGTTTTAATTCACCAATTCCCAGGCACAGAGGCTCAGGGGGAAGGGAAGCAGAGCCCACAACTGACTGGGACTGAAACAGGACCAAGCTCAGCACCTCAGCCTGACTGGAAAGGCTTTGAAAAATTCTTTTCCAGGTTCTGCACAAGTCTGAAATGCTCATCCAGTTCCATCACAAGCTTCTGGCAGTCAGAACTGCCCTGATGCCATGGAAAATGTCCCAAAGGTTCAGCGTCACCTGTGCCACTGCTGGAGCAGGTGTGGGGACACGTCCATGGAGGGAGGACACAGCTGGGTCAGGGCAGGGAATTAAAACTACTCCAAAGGGTGGGGATGTGGGAAAACACCACAGAGGGTCACAGGGAAGTCACAGGACAGGGGACAGGTCACCTGTGGTGTTATGGACTCTCCAAAGCCATTTCTATCAGCTGCCCTCCCAGCACTGCCCCTGGACAGAGAACATCTCAGATCCAGGTTTTACCCAAGAAACCCCTTAAACCCCAAAGAAACTGAAGCTCTGTTTGGCTGCCCGTTCCTCGGCAGCTCTCTGGAGGCAAGGCCAGCCCCTGGCAGGAGAGAGGAGAGCAGACAGAGGGTTGGTACCTGTGTGATGGTCCTGCAGCCCGTGGTCGCCGTTCTCCACCACCATGGGCCCCGAGGCTGAGGAATCTGCAAGGGATCAACACAGGGGTTAAACTGCATGGATTCATCCCAGTCAGACCTTGACAACAGCCCTGTGACCCTGCAGAATCACTGAGGGTGGAAAAGAGCTCCAAGATGGAGCCCAAGCTTTGATGGATCCCCCCTTGTCACCTGGTGGGGATCCCAAAACCAACACAAGAAATTACCAATTCCAGCCCTGAGCACCCCCACAGAGCCCCAGGATCCCTGAGGCTGGAAAAGCCCTCTGGGATCACCAAATCCAGCCTGATCCCCTCCCTGTCCCCAGCTCTGAGTGCCACCCCAGGAATTCCTGGGGCACCTCCAGGGATGGGCACTCAAACCTCCCTGGGCAAGGAGGGAGGCCTGAGCCCCCTTTCCATGGGGAAATTCCTGCTGAAACACCAAATACTGCTGAAGCAGGGATCAGGGGAGGTTTAAGGAGGGTGGTCAGGGTGGAAGATCACCAATTCCAAAACCCAGCACAGAAAATCCTTCTCACTGTGAGACTGAATCCATCTTGTTCTGACACTGAGAGCCAAAATCTGAACCAGCACCAGGATTTGCAGCCTGAACTTGGGAAACTTGGCAGCAGTGGGCAAGGGGAGCAGTTGGAAGCTGCAGATTTAGTTTATATAGAAAAAGAATTATATAGAATTTAGATTATATAAAAGAAGACGTTTTATACAGTGAGGGTGGGCAGGCCCTGGCACAGGGTGCCCAGAGCAGCTGTGGCTGCCCCTGGATCCCTGGCAGTGCCAAGGCCAGGCTGGACAGGGCTGGGAGCACCTGGGACAGGGGAAGGTGACCCTGGGACAACAGAAGGTGTCCCTGCCATGGCAGGGGTGGCACTGGATGGGTTTAAGGTCCCTCCACCCCAAACCAGTCTGGATTCTGTGACTTTATGACCCTGAGCAGTTTTAGGGAAGCAGAACAAGCAGCACCAGCTCCTCCCCGGGCCCTCAGCTCTGCTGACAGTGAGGAAATGCTCACTGCACAAATAACAAAGAGACACACACTCAGTCACCTGGAGCTGCTGCTGGCCCCTCCTCAGCCCCAGTTTTATACCAGAGCCACGTTCCCAGGGCCCCTCAGACACAGCAGGGCTGAATCCAGCCCTCAGCAAAGCAAAGGAAAAGCATTTCCAGCTCCATCCGTGCTCATCCTGCTCTGCAAAAATCCCCCGTGACCTTGTCAGTTTATAGCAAACCACACAGCTCCATGCTCCTGGAGGGGCTGGGGACAGCACAGGGACCCCTGGGGCTGCTCCCCAGGCTGAAACAGAAATGGGCCTGAAACAGAAACTGGGGAGGTCCTGGCAGTGCCTGGATCCCCTGAAATCGGGGTCAGTGTGGTTTAAACACAGAGTCACAGCTGCCCAAAGCACAGGAGGAGTGTCAGGGTCCTGCAGTGAGATCCCTGAGGAATTCCATGGAATTCCTGCAGGAGCCACACATTTCATAAGCCCTGCAGAATCATGGAACCTCCTGAGAGGGAAGGAACCCCCAGGGACCATCCCTGTCCAGCCCCTGGCCCTGCACAGACAGCCCCAAATTCCCTCCATGATCACATCCTGCTTTCCTTCCTCTGAGCTGCTCCTTGCACCCTGCACAGGCAACTGAGCTGCTGGGATGCTCCAGAGTCTGGAGGAATTGAATTTCCCCATGGAAAGGGTGCTCAGGTTTGAGTGCCCATCCCTGGGGGTGTCCCAGGAACACCTGGAGGTGGCACTGAGTGCTCTGGGCTGGGACAGGGTGGGCACTGGGCACAGCTGGGACTCCATGGGCTGGGAGGGCTTTGCCAGCCTCAGTGACTCTGATGCCAGCACAATTATTAATGCATTAACCCCTCCAAAGTGGGTTCCCAGAGGAGCAGAAGGATCAGAAGTGCCACGGCTCTCCTTGGGAAGGACACAGAGCAGGTAAAATGGTTCCCTGTACAGTTTTAGCTTTTTGGGAAGACAAGCTTCCAGTAAAACCAGGTCAAATCCCACCAATGCAGCCAGCAGGAGTGGCTGTTATTTAAAGTCTCTGAAGGTCAGTGCCTTTGGAGAAATCAATCTGAGCTTGGTTTGCTGAAGTCCCAGTGTGAAATCACCCAGCAACCTGCCCAGGGCCAGGGCTCCTCCCCTCATAGCCTAAATTGCATAAACCCAAAACCATGTCAAGATGTTGTAACTACCTAATCCTCATCAGAATCACAAGATAGTATTTGCATCTGGCTCGTGGATCAAAGGATTGTTTTTATATAAACAAATTTCAGGCAGCGCTGGCTAAAGAGATAATCTGGAGCAAATGGGCAGTGCCAGCAGCAGCCCCTAATCCCAGGGGAGCACAGGGGACAGCACCACGGCCAGCACGTCCCTGCAGCACCTGCAGCCTGCCCCAGCCTCACCTGAGGGCACAGGGGGCTCTGGGGGGCTCTGGGGGGCAGGAGTGCCCATGCAGGTTTTATCCCAGCTGTAAACGCTGACACTGAGAGGAAAATGTGAGTGAAAACACTGAGGGACAGAGTGTGACCCAGCTGGTGACTCTGAACAACGAGTGTCATCTCCTTCCATCCATTCCTTTAAATGTTCTGCCTCAAAATCACCTGCAGAGCTGCCCCAGCCCTGATCCAACAGCACAGGGAGCTGGAGCCAGGCTGGAGAGCTGGGAATGTTCATCTGGAGAGGAGAAGCTCCAGGGAGAGCTCAGAGCCCCTGGCAGGGCCTGGAGGGGCTCCAGGAGAGCTGGAGAGGGACTGGGGACAAGGGATGGAGGGACAGGACACAGGGAATGGCTCCCAGTGCCAGAGGGCAGGGATGGATGGGAGATTGGGAATTGGGAATTGCTCCTGTGAGGGTGGGGAGAGCTGGCACAGATGTGCCCAGATGTGGTGGGCACCACTTTTGTGATGTAAACCCAGCACAGCAGAGCAGCTGGGGCTGCCCCTGGAGCCCTGGCAGTGCCCAAGGCCAGGCTGGACAGGGCTGGGAGCACCTGGGACAGGGGGAGGTGTCCCTGCCATGGCAGGGGTGGCACTGGGTGGGATTTCAGGTCCCTTCCAGCCCAAACCAGTCTGGGTCTGTGATGTAACTGGGGTTCTGTGATGTAACTGTGGGGCAGGAATGGGGCTGGACGGACTCTGAGAGGGAAAAGGTTTAATGTTTCATCTGAGCCAAAATTGCAAATATCATCGTGTGCTGATCTCCCTTTGATCCCTGTGGGACTCTGGGCTGTGGGGAACACTCTCCATCTCCCCTTTCATACCTGACCAAGTGCCTGAATGCCTCTGGCTAAAGCAAATCCTGCTGCAAGGCAAGCACTTATTCCTGGTGTGGGAAGGGAGGGAAGAGCCAGAGGAGCCGAGGTGTGCCCGGGTTTGGGCTCTGCAGCCGCGGGACAGAGGGCAGCAGGGCCGGCAGAGCCACCTCGTGGTGACACCGCTGTCCCAGCGCCACCGCTGGGATTGGTGCACTCAAACCGAGCCCATCCCTCCTGGCAGGCAGGGCTGGGTCCTGCAGGGCTCAATCCCACGGGAATGGGGCCCAGGGAGCCCCCCCAGCCCCCGGGGAGGGGAGTGCAGGGCAATGAACCCCGGGCTCAAGGACGGGTTAATACATGAAAGAAAATAATGGAATTATAATAGTGAAAAGAGAGAGGGGGATTGCTCAGCCTGGAGAAAAGGGGGATCAGGGGGAAACCTTGTGGCTCTGCACAGCTCCTGCCAGGAGGGGACACCTGGGGGGATTTGGGATCTTATCCCAGGGAGCAGGGACAGGAGCAGAGGGAACGGCCCCAGGCTGGGCCAGGGGAGTTCAGGTTGGAAATTGGGAAAATTCCTTCATGGGAAGAGCTGTCCAGATGTGGCACAGCTGCCCAGGGCAGGGGGGAGTCCCCATCCCGGCAGAAATTTAAATCCCTGTGGATGTGGCACTTGGGGACAGGTCAGGGTGGCCCTGGCAGTGCTGGGCATGGCTGGACTCCGTGGTCTCTGAGGGCTTTTCCAACCTCAGCAATTCCGTGATTCTGTGCAAAAACCCAAGAGGGACCAGGGGTGCCCAATGCCCTGGGTCAGCAGGCCTGAGCCATGCCCAGCCTGTCCCAGCAGTGCCTGGCAGCTCCTGGCCACCTCTCCCAGTTCACACTGGGCAGGATGTGATATCCCAGCGCTGCGGGACATCCCTCTGGCCAGGTGGGATCAGCTCCCCTGGCCATGCCCCCCACCCTCCTGGCACCTCCCTGCCTGAGCCTGGCAAAGCAAAACCTCCTCAGGAACATCCAAACCACCCAGGTGTCATCAGCACCATTCCCACAGCCCCCTCCAAACACAGCACTGCCCCAGCCAGGGAGAACATCAACCCCAGCCCAGCCCAGACCAGGACAATCCCCTCCAAAAAATCCTGTGTTCAAGGTCAAAGCTCACCAAGGAGTCTGTGAGCAGCGCAAGGATGCAGAACACAGGGACTGAGCAGGAGGGCACATCCCAGCACAGAGCACAGAGCTGCCCTTTGGTCTGGGCTCAGTTCCCCACCAGGAACACAATTCCACACCAGGAACACAATTCCTGACCAGGAACACAATTCCCCACCAGGAACACAATTCCTGACCAGGAACACAATTCCCCACCAGGAACACAATTCCCCACCAGGAACACAATTCCTGACCAGGAACACAATTCCTGACCAGGGACACAATTCCTGACCAGGGACACAATTCCACACCAGGAACACAATTCCTCACCAGGAACACAATTCCTGACCAGGAACACAATTCCTCACCAGGAACACAATTCCTCACCAGGGACACAATTCCTGACCAGGAACACAATTCCTGACCAGAAACACAATTCCTCACCAGGAACACAATTCCACACCAGGAACACAATTCCTCACCAGGAACACAATTCCTGACCAGGAACACAATTCCACACCAGGAACACAATTCCTCATCAGGAACACAATTCCTGACCAGGAACACAATTCCTGACCAGGAACACAATTCCTGACCAGGAACACAATTCCACAC